TTAGTAAATCAGTCTCAAAACAAGATCAAAAAGACTTTTTGGCTGATATAAGATTTTAAAACTTGGTTAGATGGACAGTTTTTACAGTGCAGAAGTCATAATAAAGAACAGCAATAATAAAACTAAGATTTCAAAAATCATTTTATTTGTAAATCCATTCGATGTCAATTTGTCTTTTTGTTTAGATGACTAAATGTACAGTACATTCAAACATTTACAGTATTACGCGCTGATAACCCATTCAAAGACTGTCTCTGCAGTGCACTAAAGCCACAGAAATAAGAAAGACACAGAGAAATGACTGCTGCCCTTCGTATTAAAATATCTGTCAGTTCTGGAAATTAAAAGCTGTTATTGGTGTTTATGCGCTGTAAGGCGGAGCACTATAAACTGATTTCAGTGTGAATAAGAAAACCTTTTCTACATCTTGAGCTAACTTAACAAAGGAAGACTGCAATTCCCTGAAACAAGTTCAAAAATACCCAGTTTTTTTTTTTTAATATGTGAAACAAACACCCTGAACGGTAAACCGGATCAAGCATCACTTCACCTCTTGTGCTTCATTCATTACATATTTAGGTTTTTAAACTCTTTATCTAAAAGCAAATCCTTCACTGTTACAAATTACAAGTAGTAAAAGTTTACTGTAAAAGAAAAACAAAAAAAGAAGTAATTCTTCTAACTCCTGGGCCACATCAGTGGGACCCAAGTGTGTACGAAGCATCGTTCAGAATGAGCAGTTTACAATTTCCAAGTGTGCGCGAGTCTTATCCGATGTTGGCATTTACACACACTAAGGCACACTTAAACTGACAGTTAATTGCCAAGCACTTCCAGGATGTATGAGGTGAAAAACCAAAGCCAGGCTGCGTGGGTCCAGCGCTCGGTGACCAGATACAAGAAGAGGCAGCTTGCAGGTCAGTAATCTACACGTGGCAGACGATACGTTTGGAGAGTTCTAGCAGCAAGTCGGGAGAGAAACGTCCAACAGAAACCAGGATAAGACAGTCTACGTACATATTACTGCATTTTCTTCCCTGTAAAAGCGTGTGCCCAGGTTATTCTGAGTGCATTTGGTTTCTCCTGTGAACAAAAGATATGTGTGAAAAATACAACGCTTGTCTACTGAGGCAGCTGTGGAGCATTTCTGATCCGAACCATGAATCTCTGTGCATATATTACTCTGCTTATTTTCTAATGTGCAACCTGAGAAAACCGTAAGAAAGGTAGGCTTTTATGATTAGTAAAAAACCTGTAGCTTCACTTCTATGTGGCAGCTTTTTGTGGAACTATATTGATTTATGAATGAGTCCGTTTCTGATGAATCCATCACAGCTGTGAGCCACGGGCGCTCTGCATGGCAGCTCTGTGGGAGCGTCGCTCAAATCAGATTTGACAGAAAATTCATGTAAGAGTTCAAAGAAACTTACCGAACTTTACAAATCGACTTTTTGCTTGACTAAACAAAGTGACAGCTGAGACAGTTTGACACTGGATTTTGGAAAGGTTAATCTTGTTTTTTGTAGGTAGCTTCTGGAACAACCTCTGTTGGATGAAATGGTTAAATTCTGACTGGACTCCCGAGCTAACAGCCAGTCCAAGTGGGTCAAAGACTGAAGTGAAGTATCTTAAAACCACTTCAATCACAATCTTTAAGAATTGTCAGTTTCTCGTTAGTTATTTCAGAAGGTTTTATGGTTATTTGCAAACACAGAGCTGGTGTTTCCTGTAAAGTCTGGAGCACTTCCAGCAGGAACACAGTGAGTAAGGGCTGTGTCATAAGCTTTGAAGAGCAATAAGAAAATGAGCCCACGTTTGGCTAGCCATTAGCCTAGCCTGGAAGAAGACAATGGCTGTGCCCAAAATCAGGGGAAGGGTCTAGCTGTAGCCAGTACACAACATTCCCCACAACACTAGCTGCGTTTCCACCGCAAATGTGCGCAAAACTTTGTTAATATCGGAAAAACGCAGTTTCACAACTGCGGTGTTTCCGTTAAATGCTGCACTGCAAAAACTGTCCATCTTACCAAGTTTTAAAATCTTATATCAGCCAAAAAGTCTTTTTGATCTTGTTTTGAGACTGATTTACTAAACAAGAACTGATTGTGTAAGAATAATCATCTTGTTTTCAGAATGTGTAAGATTATTTGTCTTGTTAGTCTGAAAATATGACTCAAATTAGATCAAAAATTTCTGCCAATGGACAGAAAATTTTACTTTGTAAGATTCTTGAAATAAGGCTACGTTCACACTGCAGGTCTTAATGCTCAGTTCCGATTTTTTGAAAAAATCCGATCTTTT